CTCTCTGTTGTAAGACAAGTTTCTCTGTGCAGCAGATCTGTCAGCATTCCAGTGTCAGTTCGATGGAAGCTCCACACTGACCACCACCAGGACAGAGTGGAAAAAGGAGGCAGAGAGTTGAGCATGGGGGATTGCCATCTCAGTGGTGAAACATTAGAATATTTACTCAGTTACTTCTAAATAAGTTCAGATTAAGGGAGTGTGACTGAAAACTAAAGGAAGTAAAGAGCAATCCATGGGTGCCCTGGCAGCTTGCACTTCCAAATGATGCACAAGGCAGATTGCACAACCTTTAGTTGCTTGATTCTTCACTTGTTGAAATAAAGATTGCTTTCTGAAGGAAGTTGACATGGAGCACAAGGCACCCAGCTGCCCTGGGGGACTCACTGCCATCCCAGAGCCACAGAACCATGGACAGGGACTGTGTGATACACAAGCTTGTCCTGCTGTTACACATGGGGCCACAAAGAGGCTTGGAGCCAGAGTGAGAATGGTCAGCATTTCCCAGCATGGAGAATGGTGACAGGAAAATGTGAAGAGGAGCAGGTAGCTGCCATGTAAGCACAGTGCATTTGGAACGGGGAGTAGGCAAAAGTGGGGCTTAGAGAAGACCCACACTGGAGATCCTGGGGAGATGGCAGTGGTAATTTTTACTTCCCTAATAGACACAGAGCATTTCAACTTTGCTAATTAATGGGAACAGCAGGTTTGTAATTCTGCCAGCAGCAGGACTTGGTTTGGGACTGGTGCTGAATGTCAGCAGAGCACGCCTTTGTCCTTCAGAGAAAACACAGCACTCGCACGGGTCAGATCCACAAGGGTGTCCTCTGTTTCTTTTCTTTCTTTTCCCTACAGTAACTCCCAGTGTTTAGGCACTTTTATTTCTTCTTGGGAATAAGTAAAATTCCCAGGAGGAAGTAAGGGGCCTACTATTACGGTAGGTTTTTCTTTTAGAAGGGGAAGTTGGTATATGGTTGATCTAGAGTTTATAATCTATAATATCAAATATACCTTATACTAGAGATTGCAATTGCAGTTCAGGTCTGCCTCACAGAAGGTCTTCCATCATTAGTCTCCCATTTTGGTAACTGGGGCTTCCTGCAAAATTGGGTGACATGCCTTGAGCATCACAATTCTTAACCTAATTTCTGGGGAAGAATGGGCTGGAAGGCCAGGGAAGAGTTGCTTTAGCTTCCTGAAGTACACTGAGCCTCATTACGGAATTTGTTCCCAGTACTTCCTTTCAAAGCATATTGATCTGATAATCTGAGGATCTTAAAAGCTAATGAATGTGAAGAAAAGATTTGAAAAGTCTCAGAGCTAAGTGGTGCTCTGGAGATCATCTACTCAGATCACCTGCATCTGGTATGACAGATGAAGCCATTGACCTTGCGCAAGTCACTATAGGAAGGGTTAACAGTTCACTCATTTATTTATTATTTCATCAAATGTTTATTGACTATATACTAAAAGTCAGTCCACATATATACCTGATAGCGAAAACATGTTGCTCTTTTCTTGGTCCTATTTGAGTTAGCATTCAATGGACTTCCCTTTTATTGTAGGTTCTGAGAGCTGGTTTTACAAGGGCCCTTGGGGAATTGATACATAAGATTGTCAGCCAGTGCAAATAGGTTTTCAATGTGGGGTCACCAATTTATAAGCTGCTAGGCTAGTTAATTTAGCTTTATTTGGCTTTACCTAATATATATACAAAGTCTGTATGGAAAAAGTCCAGCCATTGTGAATATAATGAGAACAGTTTGTGCGACATCTATGTTCCATGTAACCTGGCAGCAAAGGACAGTGGACTGGAATGTGCATGTTTGAAAAATGATGACTTCACTGTACTAGTTAGCGGGTGCAGTAGACATCACTGAGTGAGCATGTGTCCTGTGTGGCTGTCTCATTCATAATGACTGAGTGAATAGAGCAACGAATCTTCATCACATTTTGCGTTAAGCTTGAATATTCCTACGCAGAAACTATTCAGATGATTCAGAAGGCCGCAGCTCTGGGCAACTGGTGATTGGCAGCTTCATCGTGACAATACATCTGCTCATGCATCATGTCTGGTGCAGAGTTTTTTGGCAAAACATTAAATCACCTGGGTGACTCTTCTCCCGTACAGCACATATTTGGTATCCTGCGACTTCTGGCTTTTCCCAAAACTAAAAGCACCTTTGAAAGTGAAGAGATTTTAGACTGTTGATGAGATTCAGGAAAATACAACAGGAGAGCTGATGGCAACTGAGAGAACTGTGTGAGGTCCAAAGGTGCCTACTTTCAAGGGGACTGAGGTGGCATTGTCCTATGTACAGTATTTCTTGTATCTTGTATCTTCTTCAGTAAATGTCTCTATTTTTCATATTACATACCTGGATACCTTCTGGGCAGACCTCATATTGTTGAAGCTATTTGTACTTAAATTTTTGGCAAATGAAAAACTAATTCAAACCACTAAGACAGCTTTTATTTAGACAGATGCCGGAGCAACTCCTTTTGTAATGTGAAAAATCTTGTTGGAAATGATTATCCCCTAGTTAAGGATCTTGTAAATCTGGACACTTTAGGGTTTCTTTTACTGGGCCCAACCCAGCAGGTAACTCAGTGGTGGTGTGAACTGGATAGGGGAAGACTCTGGCATGGAAGGAGGAAGCCCTAAGAACCTTAGAACAGCCCATACCAAGATATTGACATTTACTGTAGCCTGTGATTGCAAGCTGTATGGACAAACTGCTCCCTTCTCTAGGGCCTGAAGCCTGAAGGGGAGAAGGAAGTGGTGGGCATGATGAGTGGGATTCCATGGGTGGGATCAAGGAGGGAGTAGGATAGGGAAACTTTTGCTTCTGTTACAGCAAATTGGAGACTCTTCCTTAAGATCCGGAGACTATGTGGAATTAGAGCTCTCTTGTATATTTTAACAGAAATAGGGAGGAGAGGAAGAGCTGTGGAAAAGTAGGACAGGAGTTTTGGAGAGAAGAGGGTTGTGTGGATTTTTGTTACACAGTAAAATCTCATTAGTTGGGGCTTTGCTATTTTTGAACTTGTGTATAATCTGAAGGAAGACAAGGCTGGAGTTTAGATTTTCATATTAAAATGTTTTCTATAGAAATGTATAGCATGCACAGTAATGTAAAAGAGAAATGTTTTAAAAGTGACATATAGAAAGGTATTACATATGTGAAAGTAAGCTATTTTGATGCAGAAGCATAATTTTACACAAGCGATTCATGTATTAAGTAAAGATGATCCTTGTCTAGCTGGTAAGGCCTGATAGGACTTTTTTTTTTTTAAACCAAGGAGAACTGATACTTATTACATGAGAGTAAAAAAAAAAAAAACACCCCAAAACCTATATATTTGTTATTTCTGTAATAATTTATTTTGATCCAAATTAGTTTCTACTAGTGAGGTTTAACAGCTCTTCTATGTTAGAAGATAAAGTCAGTGCATAAAGACCTATGGGAACTAAGGACAGAAAGTACAAAACAACGCTTGTAATGAAAATTTGCTTTTTATGGTGTGATTTTTTTCCCCCTTCAATTGCCTACGGTTTTCTCAAAGTGAGTCTTATAGTGGGTTATTCCAGCATCAGGTACTATGGGCCAACTTGCCAAGTTGCAAAGAGAAGCAACTGATGAATAAAAAGGCTCACTGTCCTCATTTAGTGAAAAATTGTCAGAGACACTTAGGAAATTTGTTTTAGGTTAGGGTATGACATCTGACCATGGCAACCGGCATTCTGGGAACACATCATTGCTGTTCTTTTGCTGAGTGTGCAACCGCCTCATTTCCCTTCCCTGGGCCAGTCATCTTAATCTTAGGTTGTTGTCAAAATTTCCACCAATTGTGGCTCTCTTGAAATAGTCAATGTTTAGAGATTGAAACAGCCCTGAGTGGGATTGTCCTGCCCGGCACGTTTCTCCTCTAGATTAGCACATTCGTATGGAAGAGAGGAAGCCACATACAGAGAGGCACTAGAGGGGGTGTCCATGGTCTCTGGTTTTGTCTCACTGAGCTCACACAGTGTTGCCTCTCTCCCAGGGTCCATCTGTGCCATATCCCCTGTGCTGATCTAAGCGTGGGCTGGCTTTCCTGGAGAGTCATACAGGGGTACTCAGGTTAAATGATAGGGGCACAGTGCTAGACTGGGGTTTTGTGTGTGTGTGGAGGCTGGCACCTCCCTTCCCACGCATCTCACCCCTAGTTGGGTTGTCCTTTCCCTCCTGAGGCTATTGTTTCTCCAGGCACATAGTTATCTTCCATTCTGCGTGGGCCCCCTGCTTCTGCCTACAGCCTTCTGATAGGAACTCTACTAGACCCCAGAAAGGACTTCAGCAGAGGAGCAAGATGTAAGCAGAGAACGAGTTGCTGAAGAAGGGAATATACTTTCTTTTCGGGAGATTTGTGTCTCCTACCTTCTAGCTGTTATGGACTGATGATGGTGACTTTGAAGAGGAGGGAGACAAAAGTGAGGAAGGGTATTACATTCAATTTTGCTTTCCAGTCAGAGGTTTTCTGTTTTCCTTTTCCCATTGGTAAGTGAAAGCAAACAGTTGCTGTGCCACACAGAGGAAAGGCAAATAGAATTAGGTGGGGCATTGTGATCCATCTTGATATCAATTAACCTGTTCAGCAAATATTTACTGAGTGTTTACCATGTGCCAGACACTGTGCTAGCACTAGAAGTACAAAAATTACTTTTTAAAAAGCCCTTATCTTTTAAGGGTCACAGTAACAGGGCTATAGTTGTTGCCTCCAGGGCATGGTCCTTTGTATATGTGGAGGGGATGACTTGGGCTGTCTTTTCTTGGTCCCCCCTGTGGCCTGGCAACATGTGGAGGTGTTCTTTCTGTTGTGAACCCCTTCCTGTTCCACTGGGCTGGGCTGTAGGGCCTGAACAAGATGTGATGGGGTTGGGAGGCTGAGGGTGGGACCCAGGGATTCAGCCACCTGGCCTCTTTCACCCTGATTCCTTCTGTTTTGGTGTCACACAGGTTCTTTTCGGAATGATGGTTTGAAAGCTTCTGATGTTCTTCCCATCCTAAAGGAAAAAGTGGCCTTCGTTTCTGGTGAGTGTCTGTGGAACTTTCCTCCATAACATACCTAGAGAAGTTGTGTGAGTGTGCACATGTATGGGCGCTCCCTTCTCTGTGGGTTAGTGAGAGGGAAGTGGGAGTGGAATTCACACTCAGAGCGGCTACTTCGTCTCTGCAGAGGAAGGCAGAAAGAGAAGGGTGAGTTCTGGTCCCAGCTAGGTATTCCGGAGGATGTTTACTACCCTAGGTGGGTATCCCCTCCAAAACAAACCTTACACCCCACACACATATACAGCTCACCTGCCCACCCTCCCAGGCCCCACTGAGAGATGCTCCAGCTGGCAAAGTCTGTACACTTTACAATTCCCAGAGGTTTTATTTGGGTTCTGCTTAGAGTCAGTCATTGACAGGATATTAAAATTTTTTTCTGGCTACTTCCTTTGTCTCCTTCCAGGCAAGGGAACTCAAGTGAGTGTTTCTATCTATTTATTCTTCTGAATAATGACTTCCAAATATTTATTTCTCTCTTCAACCCATCTTGTGCACCTGGACCTTTTAAAGTGTAATTCAGGGGTCAGCAAACTATAGTCTGTATTTTGCTACAAGTCACCTACCTGCTTTATGTGAATAAAGTTTGAGTAGAATATAGCCATGTGAATGTGTTTAGGTAGTGTATTAGTTTCCTATTGCCACTGTAACAAGTTGTCCAAACTTGGTGGCTTACAACAACAGATATTTATTCTCTTACAGTTATGGAGGCCAGAAGTCCAAGATAAGTTTACTGGGCTGAATAAGTGTATCAGCAGGGCTGTGCTACATCCAAAGCTCTAGGACAGAATTTGTTTCTTGCCTTTTCCAGCTCTAGTGGCTGTCAGCATTCCGTAGCTTGTGGCTGCATCATTCCCATCTCCGCCTCCATGGTCACATTGCCTTCTACAATTCTGTCTGTGTCAAATTTCCCTCTGTCTCCAGTAAGGATACCTGTGACTGCAATTAGGCCCCCTGTGATAATCCAGGATAATCTTCCTATCGCAAGATTCTTAATTGTATCTGCAAAGCTTCTTTTTCCAAATAAGGTAACATTTATAGGTTGCAGGGATCAGGTATGCTTAGGGGACATTTTTCAGCCTACTACAAGTTTTGTCACTGGTTTCTTTGTCACTACAATAGTGGAGTTGAGTAGTTTCAGTAGAGATAGATGGCCACAAGCCTAAAATATTTACTAAATGGCCCTTCAAGAAAGAGCTTGGTAACTCCTGAGGTGAAGGAAGCTGAACTATAAGGTGCACCTGCATCACTCTGGGTGCCAGTTCTAGGGCTTCATTCAGGACTCCTGGGTCAGAATCTCTGGCAGGGGCTGGGGGAATGGCAATGTGAATAGCCAAGGACCATATTTAAAGAAAAATGCTCAAGTGCTTAAGCTTCATGGACTGAGCTATTGTTTCTAGATGATTCTGATCATCTATAAGGAATGGCAGTGAAATCACAGGGAAAGAGCCAGTACAGTCCCACAGTGCAGGGGTTTACTCCACAGGCAGTGCTGGCCTGGCAGATGGGCAACTGCCAAAATGGAGAAAAAGGAGGGAGGGGAGGAGAAACCATGCAGCAGATATCTCCCGCCTGACCAGAGGAAAGAAGCAAGTCCAGTGATGCAGACTGTTGGCATGGGAGGTGAGGGCAGAGTATGAGATGAGAGTATGTAAGCCTTTGTAAGGTACTATGTGCATTCCATGTTAGTATGATTAGTAGTAGTAATAATAATACTACTTGTATTTTATTATTATTGTTGCTGTTAGAGGAAATAGACCTGGAAGCTTCCTGTTCCCCTTAGTGTTAGGTGTGTGTATGTCTATTAGGTAGTAAGCCACTGTCACTGAAGATGTTGAAGCACAAACTGATCCCTTGGCAGAATCACATGGCAGTGATTTTAATGTGAGTGGGGGCAAAGGTAAGGCAGCCTCCCAAGCCTTTGTAAACTTGGATCTGAGTGCTGAGCATGAGGGAATATCTTGAGTAGAAGCCTGGAGGACACTGGGCAGCACTGGGCTTCTGACTTCTGCTGCTGCCCATAATCTGGGCTCCCAGGAAATGGCCCATAGCCTCTGGAGGGCTGATTGGATCTTTTTCTCTTTTGAATGGCCCTGAGCCTATTCAATCTGACATCCTTCTTGTCCCTGGGTGTCCTCCTAATTAATCCTCCCATTCTCTCATGTCTGGTGCTTCCTTTACCTGCAGTGTCTTCCCCATACCTTCTTCCAGTCTGAGTCTCTCATCTCGTTTCCAAGTCAGCTCCCACTTTACTTCCTCCAGGAGGCCCTCCTGGCTTCAATAGATAGTCTTTGAGCATCATCTTATTTCCTATCAGTTCGGGGTATGAGAATGCAGACATGGTACACTTAGATGTGGTGATGACTGCTTGATCATGATTTATTTTTTTCCCATGTGAGTTCAGTCGGACCTCTGGGGCAGGGCCCAGCCAGCCCTAAAAAAGAGCTTCCCAAGCGTAGGGAGTCATCCAAATGGAGCACCCAGAAGCAAGGTGCCAGGAAGGCAGTTAGTCGGGCATGAAGCAGGTAAATGCTTCCCAGAGCAGGACCAAGGGGGTTGGCAGTGTGCAGCTCATGCCCATGTACCCATGCTGGCCAAGCAGCCTGGGGTAAGTCTTATTCATCTGCACGTGGGCTTAACGAACATTGTCCTTCCGTGCCTGGGAAGGATGCTGAGGGCACCAGGGAGATGACTGCCTGCATTTAAAAAAACAAAAACAAAAAGCAAATCAAAAAAGCACCTTCTATCCTGAGCTTTTAGAAGACAAAACACAGAAGTAAGGCAAAATAAAGAAACCCAGAATTAAATGACGCAGTATAGCAGTTGCATTCCTTTCTGAGAAAAAAGGCTCTGCAGGAAGGTGGTGAGCAGAGAAACAAACTATTGGCTGTGCCCGCCCTCCTTGTGCTGGTGCCCCTTGTGTGATCAGGGTACAGGGATGCTGCGCTGCCATGGGAACGCATGTTTGGTATAATCCGGTGCAGCCCAGCAGCTTCTGCAGGTGGGTGTGTGCACGTCTGTGTGATGGGATCTGTGACTGTGTCACATGGAGCCTTTGTCGTTCCAGCCAGGCCCCATCCTGCTTTGTCATTCACAACCTCCCACTTTGCCTCTCTCTGGCTTCCTTTGTGTGTTATGTCTCCCACTCACAGTACCCATTGTCCCTTTTATCCAACCTTCTTGCGCAGGGCTCACTGCACCACTGTTATCTTCATGTGCACTCACACCCTGCTTTTGGCCACCCCCTGATGTCCCTTTCTGCCACCTTATCTACCACCAACATTGTTGTGGGAGATAACAACAACATTGTTCCCAGGGAAACTCCATGTTGCTATGGCACAGTCTTTTGTACTCTAGACCTGTGTCTCTCAATGTGTGTTCCATGGAACAATAGTCCCATAAGATGATCCTCAAAAAAGAAAAAGGCCATGGACAATAATGTGGTGATTGCTGGGGGGTGGGGTATAAGGGGACTAAATGGCAATGGAAAAAAAAATACAATAAAGGTTACATTTTAAAAAAAGAAAAAGGAACCCTGGCTGGTGTGACTCAGTTGTCCTATAGCCAAAGGGTTGGGTGTTCTATTTCTAGTCAGGGTACATGCCTGGTTTGCAGATTCAATCCCCCAGTCCTGCCCAGTCTGGGCACATACAGGTGGCAACCAACTGATGCTTCTCTCTCTCCCTTACTTTCTCTCTAAAAAGTGTCCCTCAGGTGAGAATTAAATGAAAAAAAAAAAAAGTGAAAAAAAGTCCTCAGGTTAGAATGAAAGGAAGAGGGGTTTTACCTGCAGAGAGGTTTGGGAAATAGTGCATAATATAGCCCCCCTCCTGGAGATCTGTTCATTAAAGTGCCTATCCATCAAGCACATGAGAACATTTCCCAAACTACAGAATAACCTCATCCCCTTAAAAATATCACATTATCCATTAACATCTTGTGGAACTAAAGTTACTTGGACTGAATTTTGGTGTGATTCTTTAGATGTATTTTTCTTGTTTGCCCCCTGCCCTGAAACTACCCTAATCTGCTCGCCCTAACTGGAGCCCGACTCCCCCTGAAAAATATCCAGTTTTCCATTCTCCTCTACCTCAATCAGGGAAGCCTTAACTTTCCCTGCTTTTGGCCTTGCCACAGCCCCGATTTGCCCTGTGTCTATGGAAGGGGATCAGTGCCATTTCTAGAACATCAAGCCATCCCCTTCCTCTTTCTTCTCTACATCCCTATCCTATAGCTTCTCTCACCAAAGTCTTACGTGAGTAAGGTGTACAAATACAAAAAACAGCATGTATTTGATGATCAAGGTAATGGTGCTTTTGAAGATCCTCCCACTGTTTCTGTCACCTTTTCACAACTTACCCACTTTTGTATCTTACCCTCTGGGACCCTCTTCCATAAGGCACACTGACTTCAGCAGGGGGTTCTCATTTTTCATCTCTGCTTATCCCCCTCTGTAACTTCAGCACCCATGCCAGTTATCAATCAAATTCTATAGATTTGTTCTTCTCACCCTTCTTGGCAGCAAAGTCCTCCACCTCCCTACTGTGACCCTGTGCATCCAGGACCTTGACTCTTAATATGTCTGTCTGTGGCTTTAGGCTCTTACCTTTGATGCTTTCTGATAATCCCCTATCAGTCGGGAGAATGTGGACATCAGATGAACAAAACATATGCCTTCCTGCTTCTCTGGGAACTCCTAATCCAGCAGGATATTTCCCACCCTCAGTGGGCCTGCTCCACTTACTCCAGGCATTAGCTCTATTCTGCCTTCACTCAGGTTAGAGCCTGGCATGGACACCACAGCCAGACCTTTCAACTATGCCCCAACACCCTGCTGCCTTCCCTCATGTCCATATCATGCACAGTCCTGTCCTTCATTCTCTGGGACACTTGCCAATGGTGGTCCACTCGCCAGTGGTGACCCACTCCACCTCTCTCCCAGCACCTCAAGCCTACTCTGGTACTTGGCAGGTGACCTCATCTCA